TTCATCTACTCCTGATAAAAGGTATCTCCACACAAGCACACCCGAGCATGTAGACACCACGCTGAATTTGTAAAAAGACCCCCGCCCTCAAAAAATAAAGAAAAGCCAACCTACCTACCCAAACTTTTCAGCCTGGGTCGGATGAGGGCAAACAAAGATTTTTTTAATTGTGGTCTAAGACTTTCAGACTCACCCGCGGACACGATGATTCCATCGGGTTTGCTGTCAGACGAGGTGAACTCCGCGTCGGAGCCGAGCGTGTAGACAGTCCTGACGAGCGGCATGGGCTTGGTGCGCGACGACGAGGAGCCAGCCTCTGTCATCCGACAGCCAAGCACATTCTCCGCATACAGGTGCTCGACGATATCTGCAGGCATCATCGTTAACATCATTAACATCTTTATCATTAACACCACTCTCAACAGCGTTATCATCATCATCATCATCATCGTCATAATCATCGTCATTATAATCATCATTGTCAACATCATTATCATCATCAGCAACAGCAGCAGCAGCACCATCAGCAGTAGCACCATCAGCAGTAGCATATGCAATACTGTCATCATCATATGATCATCATCATTGCATGTGCTTTGCTATTGTCCACCATACTATGGATGGGAATGCCACAGGAATGTGTACTGTCAGTCTGTCATACATAGCTGCCGATTACCTATGCCCAAGCTGCTAATCAAATATCTGACAATTTCTGTAACACTAGTAGGTGACCCTGTACACATATAGATAATAAACCGATACACCGCGGGATGGCACTGCACGCTGTGACTTCTCACACTTGGGGTTGGAGGATAGGCTTACCTGGGAACGGCATGAGCTGGTAAGCGGGCATGTGACGCTTCAGGTTCCACCACTTGCTGCGCAGCCACTGTGGCGAACGCACGCTGCTCCAGCCCTTTGACAGCTGCACCCAGTCCACGTCTGTCTCCTCCTTGGCACCTAGCTCCTTCATCCTGCACACGAGCAAAACAAAAGCGACACACGCTCTAATGACAGGTGGGTTTACACACGTGCAGGCGGACAGCAGTCGGCTCACTGAAGAGGAAGCGACGATCGTCACAGTATCGTTTAGGTGCCCCCCTCCCCCCACATCGTACTCACTGATGAGTGCGGGTTCCTCGCTACACGTCCACTCCACTTCGCTTCTTGTGATTTCCCACAAACCACCCCACTCTGCCCAGTCCTCACCCCACCGTTCCCACACACAGTACCCCCAGCACCTCCACTCCCCACCCAGTCGCTCGATCCTATTAACCCCATCCCATCACCCTGTCCAGCCTCTCTGCCAACTGCCACCTGCCCCCCCCCCCCCACTCACTGACTCACTTACCCGGCTCCTTCTTCACCCAGCCCTTCCCCTGACCAACCCTTGTACCACCCAGCTCCTTCTTCACCCAGCCCTTCTCCCGACCAGCCCTTGTACCACCTGGTCCCCACTCACCTAGCTCCTTCTTCACCCAGCCCTTCCCCCAACCAGCCCTTGTACCACCCGGTCCCCACGCACCCAGCCCTTCCCCCGACCAGCTCTTGCACCACCCGGCCTTTTCCCCAACCGGACCCTCCCCACCAAGCTCTTCTCCCACCTAGTTCCTCCCCCAGCCAGCCTCCTCCCTCGAGCCCCATACTTACTTGCTCATGAGGGTCGCATCATCGCTGCGCGTCCACTCAGCGCCGCCCTTCTGCTTCCAGTTGAGCTGGTTGAGCCACTTGGTGCGGCACTGCTTCTCCGTGCGCGTGACGACGCGCTGCGCGACCGCCGCCCACGAGATGTTCTGCGTGACGTTCTCGCCGTGCCGCCGCCCCGTCAGCTCGTAGACTGCCTCCGCGAGTCGGTCGTCCTCCTCCGCCAGCCACTTCCCTGCAGATGCAAACGCCGGAGGACGCGTGATGGGGACAGTCTCGAACAAGGGGCACCGTGTGATGGGATAACAGGGTTCGAAATTAAGGGTAACAAGCAGCGGGTTTTCTGCCTACAATGGTCAGTTTGCTGCTTGCTCTTAATGTTGGCAGCAAATACTTACTGCGATGAAATTCCTAACAAACAAAACAAAAAACACCAAAGTTATAAGGAATATCTGTTGCAAAAGTTCTCACGCTGATTCGCGGCTCCAGAAATGCCGTATTTGCGAGCTGCGAGCTGCTTTAGTAACAATCAAGCGAACAATGTGAAATAAACAATGCAATGCGCACCAACTGCCGATAAAATACGTATAGACTGGTCCGCGCTCGACAGTTCCACTCGCGTTACACTGGAACTGTCGAGCGCGGACCAGTCTATAAAATACGCGGCTTCAGAAATACGGTATTTAGCGTTCACACGAGGAAATGCACGGTTCACGAGATCTGGTATTTCTCAAGCACGGCAAATTATTAGGGGTATGGGAAGCCGCGTATTTCAATAAATACCGGATCTGTTTAGATACCGTATTTCTTGGACCGCGCATTTTGCCTCGTGTGAACGCTAAATACCGAATTTCTTGCTACGTGTGAACGCGGCCTATGAGAGAGGGCAGTGCATTGTTCATTAACAGACACGGCAGTGCATTGTTTATTATAAGACATGGCAGTGCATTGTTCATTATAAAACTCTGAAGTGAATTGTTTATTATGAGACAGGACAGTACACTGTTAATTATGAGACGGCAGTGCGGCAGTGCATTGTTTATTATAAGCCCCGGCAGTGCATTGTTCATTACCAGACACAGCAGTGCATTGTTCATTATGAGACAGCTAGGGCAGTGTATTGTTCATTATAAAACTCTGCAGTGAATTGTTTATTATGAGACAGGGCAGTGCATTGTTCATTATGAGACGGGGCAGTGCGGCAGTGCATTGTTCATTAGGGCACGAAGGGTCGTTGTCGTATAATATGTACCCGAGGTAACTATCTGATATGGTTAGGGTTAGGGTTAGGGAGTAGGCGTAGGCGACATACTCCCGACACCTCGGGTACTACATATACGACAACGACCCCTTCAGCTTCATTAGGAGACACAGCAGTGCATTGTTCATTATGAGACAGGGCAGTGCATTGTTCATTATAAAACTCTGCAGTGAATTGTTTATTATGAGACAGGGCAGTACATTGTTCATTATGGGACACAGCAGAGTGCAATAAGCATACAGCAGTAAATTAATGCATACCTGAGTTGCACGTGTCCTTGAACAGACGACACCTGTCCTTGACGGACGACGCGCTGCGGCCCAGCTCAGCGCCGACGGCTGCCCAGTCGTTGCCATGCTTCGCTCGCAACCTGCCACACACAAGCAAGTCACATCGCTCACCCACGGCATTGCAGCCCACAGTCCGCCGTACGAAACATCGCGCAAAGATACCGCTGTCACAAAGCTACGGTGTCGTAATCATTGCACGGTGCTTCACGCGCAAAAGTTACGGCATCTATCTACATGCTATCTAACAACTATTTACAAGACAAAATAGGTAAGCACTCATCCATTTACCTACGCAAGCCTACAGGCTGAAATAGAGAGCTGCCACCTGTAACTAATTAATGCAGGCAAAGATGTTTCTTGCATCGCGTCTCAGGCGGAAACACCGCTCATGGTTTGTGGATTTTCGTGGAGATGCCTGCATATGGTTAAAATCGACGTGTCCTGGATCACACCACTTAGAAAAATGATGGACACATTAATTCCGCACACGATTCAATCTACTTTTCACTAATCGGTGCATGCAGCATACTGTAGCGGCAGCCTGATTTGTGCGCCCACCCGCGTCATGAAAGACGATGATTGTTATGATTAAAGTGCGTACCGAGGGTAAATAGTGCGCGCCTAGGGTAAATAGTGTGCGCCGACGGCTAAATAGTGCGCGCCGACAGCTAAATAGTCCGTGCCGAGGGTGGATAGTGCGCGTCGACGGCTAAATAGTGCACGCCGAGGGTAAATAGTGCGCACCGAGGGTTAATAGTGCGTGCCGAGAGTAAACAGTGCGCGCCGACGGTTAAATAGTGCGCGCCAAGAGTAAAAATAGTGTGTGCCGCGAGCGCGGCGGCTAACTGCCACGCACCGGGTTACGTGGGGCTTTCGCCGAGGGCGGCGGCAGGAGTAGGCGGCACGGCGAGATAGGGTAGCCGGCTCGGAGGGGCGCGGTGCATTAGCCACAATAGGATTTAGACCCACCGCCTCAGCTGGAGGCCCGGCAAGGTCGCGCAATGACAGTGCTCTGGTTTAGAACGAAGCGCGCAACAATGTATCACAAGGACGTGCGCAAGGGCATTGTTTAGTAACTTAGTAGCTTCGCGATTGTGTTATTGCACGTGCGTGTATGTATTTTGGCGCGAAGCCTTGTCATCGGCTGAGAGATATGTCTCTTCAATCTGCAATTCAAAGTCAGTAACCAACGTGCAATATGTAACTTTCGGCACGAAGCGTCATCATTGGTTAATGAGATGTGCATTTGAATCCGCAGGGGGCTATATAAAGAGGACTTTGCCACGATTGGGGCACTACTACACACACTAAGGGACTGGACATTGTAGCCGACACTAAGGTTAGACAACAGTTAGGGTAGCCAGCTAGGGACACACAAAGATAGAGTAGTTAGATAGAATGCAGAATTTAGGATAAACGTGACTATTTTACTGGGGGAAAGGAGTGGGAGCTAGAGCGGATATAAACTAAGGGCATGTAACTTTTATTGTATGTCACCTCCGCGAATGCGGACGTGTTTTGTTCCGGAATAAAAGGCTCTCTATAAGCCACTAAACGTATTCCCGGCTTGTGTAGTATCTCTGTCGAGTTATATCCACGCACACTCATGCACTCCGCAAACCTGCCGAAGCGCTGGCGATAAACCGCCGGTAGGTAAGAAACACAACGCAACAAGGCCTAAGGTACTATACGATCACGAAAACAGTGAGATACGCACCCTACACTCAACAACAACACGGCGAAGAACAGTGAAGAACCACGAATCGCTACAATACACTAAGCAGTGCTGTTAAGGGTTATTACTTGTCCTTTCACTACAGGAAGCTACTATATACTATACAATATACTGGAAACTCATCTAATCTGTGGGTGGCGCAGCATGACAGGTTTTAAGTGCCAACAATGACACTCTGCCTCTATCAGATTCAGGTGCTACTACATTCAACGAGTCAAGAAAGTAGCAAGTATGAGTATATATATCTATACTCACTGGTGCAGCTTCTCCACTTCCTCCGGCTTGTACTTTCCCATGTGGTTCTTGTTGTCGTACATGCGAATCACGCGTCTGTACACGGAGAACAGGGGGCGCTGCAAGCCCTTTGCGACGGTGCGGTAGAAGTCCTTACGCTCGTCCTTACTCATGTCGAAAATGATCTCTGCCGGGTCGGACACGCCGAGACTCTGCAAGCATCGTCCATCATGCCGGTCAACGACAGACGCAGCAACCGATCTACACACACCGACCGCAGGCGAACCAGGAGGCGGTCACCCGCTGAATCCTCAAGGGCCAGTGCAAACACATGCAGGCACTTGAAGCGTTTCAATAAAGTATAATGCTAAATAAATACGAAATCTATTTACTACCGAATGCTTAATGTTTCTATACTCTCTTTCACCTATTATTGCCGACTGTTTCCTGTAAATTCCGTCCAAATCCTATGTGAAACATACGCTGCCGGCTGCCAATGCTCTCGTGGCTGCACTGTGCACACTTACACTTATATATATATAGTGTATTATAGGTGAATAGGCAATAATAGGTGAAAGAGAGTATAGAAACATTAAGCATTTGGTAGTAAATAGATTTTGTATTTATTTAGCATTATATATTTTATTGAAACGCTTCAAGTGCCTGTGAGTGCAAACACGACTACGCTGTCTCGCGTTTCCACCGTGTTTGTGCGGAGGGGTTCACTACATCTAGTCCAGGGGTTCTTAACCTGTGGTCTACGGACCCCTTTGGGGGGGGTCTGTGGATGAGCTTCAGGGGATCCGTGAACACGTGCAAAATATTGTGTTTATGTGCATTTTTCTGGGGTAGTAGTTCTTCCGTAGCTTTCACCAGATTCTCAAAGGGGTTCGTAGCTTTCACCAGATTCTCAAAGGGGTCCGTAGCTTTCACCAGATTCTCAAAGGGGTCCATGACTCAAACAAGGTTAAGAACCACTGATCTAGTCAGTGGTGTGGCTGGTGCCTCTGTTCTGCCCCACTGCAATTTAGCCAGTCACCCTAAACGATTCATGGGTTTGCTCGAAATTTATAAAGCGCACTGGGTATGCCGGTCCAACTCATTAACTCTACTGGTTCCCATTATCATTGACGCTCTGGAAATGGGACTTGTGATGATGAGAGTTCCATAAAAAAAAAGTTTCCCAGCATTGCACAATTTTTGGTGTTCAATCCGTGTTTTTTTGTTTATCCAATTTAATAGTGTGTGCTGTGAAGTGACTCGGGTGGTTGGGGGATAGCTGTCCAACCAAACCATGCCTGCGATACGGGGTCATTTTATTGCTAACTGGAAATCATTCAAGTGTGCCATGAATATTGCACCAGTTTAATTGCATAAGACGATATGTTTAACTCCACATACCTGGCAGTACTGCTCAATATTTTCCTGGAGAATAGAGATCTCTTCCTTCGCCCACTGGCCTTGCTTCCACTGCACACCTGACATCAATGCGATAGAACAAACAAGCTATAAAACATGCAATGTCAGGTAACTTGTCTCATCGTTGCGATGCACATTTCATCCGTATTTATCTGTGAAATTAGTCTGTTTAGTAATTAACATTTCATCCGTGCATTTCTATCCGAAGCCTTAATGCTACAGATATATGCAGCATCTGATGTTTCCACCACTCCAGCCCACATTTGGGAGGCCACGATGCGGACATTCACACGTTGTGATTCCTACCATTGTTCTGCAACGCGTGCTTGTCTTCCTTCGTTGTGAACCACGACTGGTTGAACTTCTCCCCCTCTTTGGTCGAGCTGTCACCAGCAGCCCCCTTAGCAGCCGCATCCGTCGACACACCAGCAGTCTGCGACCAAGAATCAAACACGCACAGGGTTACATCGGTTCACGAAACTTTATCAACGTTTAATTTACAACTCCCATAGCTAGCATGTGGCAATTAATCAAAGGTTCAACTGAATACATATATTCAAATCTGTATCGAAGTGTCACTCAACACCAAGCGTCTTTTATGCACAGGTGTCCATTCTGTTCGATTAACAGCTGTATCATGGTTTGGTTGCATACCTGCGGTGAGTCCTGCAGCTGTTCCAGCAGGCTACTAGTAGCATCTGTTCCGTCGTCGGATAACGTTATCATGTAGGTTTTGCCGTCGCCAACAGCCTGTGCAAGGCATACCCTCTTTGTCTGTGGTTCGCCGATGCCATCGTTATCTCCAAAGTGAACCTGTCGCATAATCGTGGCACAGAAGGGGAATTCGGCAAATGAGTTCTGTACAGTGTCTGACACTGATTAATAGTAACACTGTATAAAGCCTAACTGCTGCTTCTCATGGGGAAATTGATACAACCTCTATATATATATATGTTAAAACAAGTGCAACTTCACTAAGATGAAAGGGTCTATGTCTACTTGCATTGGCGCTGTCTGCATATGTACTCCTAACCGTGACCCTCATTCTAACTAAAGG